CTATTCACCTTGAGCTCCTTGATAAAATTTGAAGAAGAATCTGCAATATTATCAATCCTCATCTGGCAGCTCAGCTTCAATCACTTTCCCACTACCGTAAGGTTGCCTCTCTGTGCCTTTTCTATAAATACTTTTATAGTAATTGTTCAGATGAGCTCTTTATTATAGTACATAGACTTTTCAAATTCAAACACAGTTCTAGACTGGCATCAAGATCTCATCAACTTACAGTTGAGCTAGGTACATATAGCCATAAATTCTATGCTAAGAGTTTTGTTTCTCGCACTTCTCACTTATGGAACTCCCATTCAGCTCCATTCTTTCCAGCCAACTTTAATCGTCAGAAATTTGAATGCAATGTCAATCACTATCTGCTGTTCTGGTTACTCTTTTCTCTTCCCGCTCATTAATCATATTTCTGTTCCTAATTCTTCAACACCCTGTAACCCCTTGTGTCTTAGTGGCTTTACTGCCTTGCATGGGGTGAAAACAATTATATATTAAATGGATTAGCTTCAACAATTATTTTAATATATTTTCTGTTTATAAATTAATTTTAAATATTTGTATCTATAAAAATAACGTATAAACAGAAAATATAGTAAAAATATATATATATATATATATATATATATATATGAGGAACCATTTTTTTTTAATTTGGCACATGTTTTTGTTCTATTTTTGTTCAAGTACTTTCGCTCATTTTAGTCATTATGAAGAACCATGTGTTGTCCATGTCGTTATCAAAATTTTTGTTGAGTACATCCTGGCATTTTTTGGAACACTAATTAAAATTTAATTGAAATACTCATGTGTCATACAAGTGATACCAGTTTAAAGTCATTTCTCTATATGTGATCCCATTACATATGTTTACATTCTTTGAATAAATAATTGGGACTCATTCTACAAACAAATTAAAGTTGCAGCTCTATCAGTTTTCTTCCAAGACCAGCACTCACCAAGAGTAGACTATCTGAAATTCTTTAGTGCATGAAAAGGCATAAAAAGTACCCTTCTCTCCTTTTATGTGACATGTCTCTTCAGGTGATCATGGCCCTCCACAACTTTCTGTTTTTTTTTATTGCTCTAAGTGAATTTTGTTCCTTTACAATACCTCTTTGTTCCTGTACTGTCATCCATTCACACTAACTCATTAAAAAGGTTACTGTTTCTACCTGCTTCCCTGTGAGTGTTAAAATCTCCAGGCACTTCATTCTGCACTGAAGAAACTTCAATGATATCTTCCTGATTGTAAGTATCAATTTGCTAGTTGTTCCTGTTTTCCTTAAAACTTCCGCAATGCTCACTTGCTCTGTCCATGGTATTCTCAGCATTCATCAGTACTACCATCTTTTAGGTGATTGTCTAGCATTCACTGCCATATAGTACATTAGATATTATGTAACAGTTCAGTAGCCGTCATTCTTGTCATACATTGCTGTTCATAATATTTTTTCTAGTCATTTAATATTTTTAATAGTATTGTTCACCCAATACAAGGCTCAAAAACCACTCAAGATGGAGGGTCACTGAAGAAGTTATTTTAAGGGTTGAAGAAAAAGAAATCAGAAGTGCAGATTGTGAGCATATGTATGGTAGATAATGGTTGATAACAGTTTCTTAAGTCATTGATAACTGCATATTACTATATTAATTATAATATTAGTCATTTCCTTATAAGGAAACATTCAGCATTGACTGACTGAGCAGCCAGTACTACTCTCAGTTGAAAATTTTAATATATTTCTCTTAAAATAATATTTTAGGAAAATAGTTTTCTCAAGTATAGTAGCTTTTATTGTTCTTTCCAGTATTGAGGTAAGATTTCCTTCCTAACCTTTTATTTAAAATAGTGTGGAATGTCAACATCTTGATTATATCATTAATTTCTCTTTGAGTTAAATTCGATATCCATTTTAATTGTTGCTACTGTTGAAAGTCCTCAAGTAATGTAGTTTGTGATACTGTAGCACCAGTTCACAAGATTCGAATGAGGATGGACTTTGCCAAAAAGGCTCATGCTTCATTCACACAAAGCTTTTTTTAAACACTGATCTTTGTAAACAGTTGTATACAGTAGAGAGTTTGGATATTTCTGAACAGGTTTGGCATCATGCATACATATGAAAGTCTTGTTCTGATCAGATTATTTAAGAATATGATTGAAGATTTTAGATTAAGGTTTTGGTTTTGTAGCATTTTGCAGTGTTCAGGAAAACTACCTCAAGCATATTCTATCCTATCTTCAATAGAATAATGGTTGATAACAGTTGCTTAAGTCATTGATAACTGCATTTTATTATTGTAGCAATAATTTTACTATGGTAATGATAATATTAGCCACTTCCTTATGAGGGAATGTCCAGCATTCATGTTTTATCTCTTACTAGCAGTAGAGCCCGGCGTTGCCCAGGGATGTAACAGTAAGAGATAGATCAAGTATCCACCATCATAAAGACTGAAAAATAAAATTGACAAGGATTATTGTTTAAGGTTGATGGACACGCATGTCTTAATTAGTTATTTTTTTTGTTTTTTTTACAAATTGGTCAAACCCAAACTCAAACAAAAACATTGTTTTCAATTGTTATGAGTCTACTGATTGAATAGAATTTTATTATAAACAATTGTATTGTAAATGAAATTTTTACAGCATTCAGAATGTAAAAATAAAGAAAAAAGTGTGCAAGACAATAAGAAACACTATCGGCCAAAAAAAGTGAAGTTTTGTTGAAATCGGTTGAAAAATGTAGGAAATCCGATCCCATATATAAACGAACATACACACACACAAACAACCTGGGTTTTATAATAAGTATAACTCGATATGAGTTGTCCCCTTTCATTCTGGCGACAGAATCCTGTTTTCAAATTGATTTCGTTACTTGTGTTTTTTCCATTTGGTGCTGTCAGAACCACCACAATTTTAAGTCCTGTGAATTGAAATTTTGAAAAATGTAGGAACCCCATCCCATATATAAATGAAAACACACACACACACACACACAAACCTGGGTTTATAATAAGTATAACTTCGATATTTTCTTGCAATGCCTTAATCATGTTTTTCAAATTGATTTTTTTGTGTTTTTTTCAATTGTTGGTGCTGTCAGAACCACTGCAAGGTAATTTTACGTAGTCCTGTGAAGTTTTGTTGAAATCGGTTGAAAAATGTAGGAAATCCGATCTAATATATAAATGTACAGACACACACACACACACATACACACAACCTGGGTTTTATAAGTATGATAGTAAATTTGTTATAACTGAATTGAGAAAAGGAACAAAAACAGAAGTATGCAGCTATCAATGACATAAACATTGTTTCAAATTTGACATTTGTAAATAAAATCAAAGTACAAATAACTCTTTAAGAAGTCAAAGATTGATTTGACACTTTATTTATATTATGAACGTCTAAAAGGATAAAACAAAGAACAATTATTTTAGTCTGATAAGTGTTGTGAATAGAGGAATATCTAATGAATGTTGATCTACATAAATTATTTACCAAAACATTTTTTCCTATTTTTACAAGCAGACTAGTTAACTGAAGTAGGACAGAAAGTGCAACATTGAGATCTGTAGATGCATTGGGATAACAAAAGATGCCTTCCAAAAATTAAGCATAGTATAAAGAAACAGAAAAAAATTCATTAGAAATAATGAAAAGAATACTGAACTGTTATGTAATACGGCAGTAAACATTGAACAATCTTTGCACAGATGAAGAAACTTAAGGCAATAGAAACTTAGTTCTACAGAAGGATTCTGAGAATACCATACATTGAACATGTGATCAATGACAAAGTTTTAGAGAAAATGAAAAGAAAAAGGACATTTATACAACAGAGATAAGAAAGAAAGAGATGGCTGAATGTTCTAGGGAGTATAATGAGGACAGAAGGCCTGGAAAATTTGACACTCACAGGACATATTGAAGGCAAGAGGAACAGAGAAAAACAGTGAATAACCTACCTAACAAGCTTGTGCAAATAGGTGGCAGAATAGGGTTTAGGATAGATCACAAGACAAACTTCACTAAGAGCTACAAAGGTCTTGAAGGAACATGGTAAGAAGAAGAATTATTATTATTATTATTATTTCTTTTTGGGTTAAATTTGTCTGTCTTAAAAGTACATTTTTATGAAGAAGAAACTTGAAGTTACAGAAATGTTGTTCTACAGAAGGATTCTGAGAACACCAAGGATTAAACATGTGAGCAACGACAGTTTTAGAGAGTTTCTAAAATTTGTCTAGAAACAGAAAAGGAAGGAAAACAATGCATAACTTACTTAGCGAGTTTGAGTAAATGGATAGATGATGAAACAAGGTTTAGGAGAGATAACAAAAAGAAACTGTGAAGAGCCATGATCACCAATGTCCTGAAGGGATTGGCACATAAAAGAAGAATAGATAAGGGATTTTAACAAGAACTACAAAAATATTTGTGTTCAGTGTTGTTAAATTAAAATTGTAAATGACTCTCCCAAAATATAAAACTTTCACTGATAATCAGATCTTCCTGACAACAATAAAAAAATAAGTACTCTGAATCAGATTTATTGCAATTTATTTTATGGCTCACATTATTTAAAAAAAAAAAAAAAATAATTGCCTGAGTTTTGCAACTCAAGATCAGCAAACCTATTCATCATTTCATTTTATAACACATCAATCATTTGACAAGGTGAGCTGGTATCTCCCAGGTAAAAAAAAAAAATGCCTAAAGGTGTTAGATGAATAAGATTAACAAATAAAAAATGGATTTAAACATAACAGAATATTCATTATATAACCAATTTTATTTCTTTTAATGTGATGTCCTGAAGGACATAAAGCCACTAAGATGCAAGTGGTCACTGAATATGAGAAAAAAATCATTTAGGAGAGAGGACACTAAAAGAAGGGGATTTAAGAAGATACTATCTAACAATTGACATTGCATTTAAATTTTTTATATCAATATTCACCAGTATATACTTATAGTCACATCATGTTGAAACACCAGTTTTCATACAATCACCAAAGTTAAGCAACATTGAACCTAGTTAGTACCTAGATGGGTGACTGCTCAGGAATACCAGGTGGTGTAATGAATAAAAGCTTGGAATGATAAATTGGATATCCAAGTTCAAATTCCATTAAGGTACATTATATTCACATACGTGGAAATACTCTCAAGAAAGGTATGAATCCACTTCTTCTCCCCATCTATGGGTTAACTAGTCAGACTTGTTTCAGGAAATCATTATCATCTCCCCAAAATTCTTACATTTCAAAAATATGTTTCAGCTTCAAATAACCTTAAAAAGGTTGATAAACTGTAAAAAGCAAATCAATCACCAGTCTTATTCATGTATGTTTCAGTACTGCCAAACTGAGGGATTAAACTCAAAGCTGCCAGGGAACCTGATACATATTTGCACCAACACTTTAATCCACTAGGCCATGTATCTAAAATGGATAAGTTTGTTATACTAAGAACTAAGCCAAGATCAACAGGCTGCTTCAAATAGCAAAGCATACAATAAACATGCACATACACAGACATTTCATTCTTATATACACACAAGTTTCATGAGACTGGAAAAGATGATGGCAATATTGAAATCATTTTGCATTGATTATACTTCCGGCATGTTACTCTTGTAAAATCCCCTATTGGAAGAGAAAGCAACAGACATACCATTTTAGGTATTGCTGTTATAACTTTCTTGGAATTTCAAACCAAAACCATTGGTCTCATTCTGCTTTCTATGCTTATGGAATACTTCATATGAGTTAATACCAGAGTATGATACTTTTCAGCACTACCAGATCATGGGATTGAACTTAACTCCCTGGGAACCTGATTTGTTTTTTTTTAATCATTTCACCCCAAGCAAGACAATGAAGCAACTAAGATACAAGGGGTTACTGAGAGTGAGAGAATATGAGAAAAAGAAAACATTATTAAGGAGAGAGAACAAAAAAGGAACAAGAATTAAGAAAACAGAACATAACGATTAACATTTTATTAAAATTTTTGAAGATCAAAATTAACTGGAAAGCAAGAAGCCCAAAAAGAGTTCCACAAGTGAAAAGTGCAAGAGAAGAAACTATTAGCATAGAACTTACAGTTACATCCAGCTATTTCAACTGTAAAATGATGGGACCTATCTGCCAATCTAGTTCTGCACTTAAATTCATAAAGTCTACTTACCATAGAGAAAAGCAATATTTATTTTGAAAATACAAAAATAGGGCACAAGGCCAGAAGGAGGGATAGCAGAAGGCTGGTCTTCAATCTGTTTTACCTTAAACTTAGCTAGCTTCCATTACTGACCCAATCATACCACAGTATTCCTTATATCAATACAACACATTCTTACTTACAATTCTAACAACTGCCACCATAATGCTTCAAAGTCTCCATAAAGTCCTAACTAGTTCCCATATGTATAAAGAGAAAAGTTCATCAGAACAATTACCATAAAAATATTAATAGAAAAGGTATAGGGAAGCTATATTATGGTGATGGGAAAGTAACTGAAGCCAAGATGCTAGGTCAGGACCAATAATGTTGCAGATTCTTATTTGTATTTTGTTTAGAATCTCAAAATACATCACAGAAACACCAGACCAGATGTTTTTCTTCTTTTTTTTTTTTTTCTTTTTTTTAAGCATTTCACCGCACACAAGGGGTTACAGAGAGGGAGAGCAAGAGAAAAGCGGTGTGTTTGAGGAAAGGATAAATAGAAAGACAGGGAACTAGATCAAGGCATCAGAAGATGTCAATTGACATTACATTTGAATATTTGAAAACTATAGCCGTCAGGGAATCAAGTAAGAGGAAGAGAGTTCCACAGATGGGAAGTGAAACAAGAAGCTGTTGGAGTAGAAGATACAGCTACATTTAATCATTTCAACAGTGAAAGGGTGTAGCATCCTTAAATTCATGCAGTTTGGGAAACAGCGAAAGTCGCTTGTCAGATCAGTTACTGTGAAAATACTTGTAGAAAAGATAGAGGGAAGCAACAGCACATTAGCTATATTCAATGTATGGATGAATGGTAAACTTATAAATCTGTGAAATAGATTCTGGTGAGAAAAATTATCTACCATGATGCAGTGAGTAAATTTTCCTAACAGGAAATGTTTCCATATAATTTTTCCACCTCATATCACTGGAAAATGGTGTTACTTTCCTAGAGGTTTCTTGGGAAAGATAATGGAATTTTTTTTTGTCCTGTTGCTTTTTCTATGGTTTTGAATTCTGTGTGAGCCTAATTTGTCACATGGTACAGCTGGGTCTTAATGAACATAAATTGCCTTCTCTTCATCATGTATGACTTGCATCTTATGTGCCACAAGTCTGGAAGTGCTTTGATCTGATCAGCATTGATTCTTGATTGACACCCCTCATGCACAAACTTTATGGTACCCCAAGTCATCACATACTATGGCTTGTGCATCTGCACAAGCCATAGGCTGACTGTGCAGATGCATAGTCTGATTCCCACAATTGCAGACACATGTACTAACGTGATTTGTCAGTCATTCCTGATCAAGGCATCCACTCTCTGAATATGTTCTTGCATGCACAATGTTGATGGATGACCAAATTGGCTTTTGCCTGTTACACTTGTTCATCCCACTTAGAATTCTATCCACTCATTCACCTTTTGGAATGGATTTTGTAGGTTTGACTTGTTCTGCCCACAGTGCACTACAGCACATTATTCCTTGAAGGTGCAATCATTTGATTGATTTGATTTTTATAGCTTATCAACCTTTTGTAGGTAATTTAAATTCAGAAAATATTTTTAGATTGTAAGAACTTTTTGGGAGATAATAAAGATTTGTTGATACAAGTCTTACTAATTAACCTATAACTGTGAAGGGAAGAATGGATCCATATGTTTCTTAAAGGTATTTGTATTTAGTGAATTTGACTAACCTAACTAGAATTGGAGCTTGGCTCTCTGATTTCCAATTTCAAGCCTTATCTATTACACCAACCATACATCTAAGCTTGCAGCACCAGTTATTCACAAGTGGTTACTCATCCAGATATTGACCAGACTTAACATTGCTTAACTTCAGTTGATTATTTAAAGCTTGGATTGTAAGAACAATTCTTATTTTTTCTATTGAATATTGCATTAACAGTTTTTTGAGAATAAAAATGATTTTCTAGATACATGTCTGACTGTTTAACCTATAGGCTCATGCCTTTCTAAAGGTTATTTGCACATAAATGAATGTAACAAACCTAACTGGAATTTGAACTCAGCTTTCTGATTTCTCATTCAAACCACTATCCACTACACAACCCACACATCGTTAAAAAGGTAGACATAGGTTTGGTTTGTGCAAGTCAAAAAAGTAGATATAAATATAATAAATAGATGGTTCCTTTTGATGGGGTTACCTATCTGCACTGGGGCGAAGTTGATATATTCTTGACTGCAACTGATAGGGCGTGGCTACCTCTGTTGCCCACTGACGTTAGCTGATTCATCAAGAGATGAAGAATCTTTTTGAATGGCCTTCGTATCTCTTCTATAGGCACCACCCCTATTTCTCCATCAGCGTCTAGTTATCTGAATAGAATATTCTTCAAGTAATGTGTAATTGAACATAAACTATATGAGTACCATTTGTCAGCAACAACACAAGACTGCAGTCTATTGGCAAGTCATCCACTCTAAAGATTTGGTACAAATTTCTTTGCAGAGTCTGGAATGTATTGCAGAAACATTTAAATTCATCTTTACTCAATTTTGGCTCAAAATGGAAATTGCTGACCACTCTGGCTGCCCCAATTGAAGTGACAGTTAACAGAATCAGTCAAATTCTAGCTTAGGCAAAGTGAAATGTTACACTGAAATTATAAGTAAAGTAATTTAGTTGTCATTTCTGACACATATGATTGCATTCAGTCAAAATCTTTTCATCTTGTATTCAGTTTTCTCTGACAAACTCATTTCAGTTTTCATTCTCTTATCAACATCATCCTCGACTCCATATTTCTTTTCACCACCCCCACTACAGTCTCTGTCCTTCACAACCACCCCCAGCACAGTCTACATTTTCCCTGCCCTCACCATTATTCTCCTTCACCCACCACCACAGTCTCTGTCTTTTTTCTCTCACCCACCACCAAATTTTCTGGCTAGTCTATGTCTTACCACCCATCATCACCACCGTCTCCATCTATCTTTTCTCATGCACCATTACCACAGTCTCTGTCTTTCTTCTCCCATCCACTACCGCCACCAGACTCCTGTCTATCTTCTCTCACCCACCATCATTATAGTCTGTCTTTCTTCTCTGACCACCACCACAGTCTCTATCTTTCTCTTTTTACCCACCACAGCCACTGTCTTTCTTATTCCACCCATCACTACCATTCAAGACTTTGTCTTTCTTCTTCTCGCCACAGACTCTTTCTTTTTTCTGTCACCCACTATCACCACTCTTAGTTGTTCTACCCACCACCATTGTCTCTATCTTTCTTCTTCTACCCACCACCACCATAGTCTCTGTTTTTCTTCTCCTACCACAGTTATTTTTCTTTACCACAGCTACTATCACCATCATAACACTAGTGTCTGTCTGTCTTCTGCAACCATGATAACCAAGATCTACTGTCTCCCTTTTTTCTTCCCCTTACAATCTTTGTCTTTTTCTCTCCCCACCACCACATCTTTGATCTCCTTCCTGCCACCTGTCCACCATGGTCTCTATCTTTCTCCCTCTGCATTCTATCTGTCTTTCTTTTTCTCTTCCATCTTTTCTTCTATGGCCCAACTCTCATCTCCTTTTTATTCTTTCTTTCCTCCACCACCAACCTTCCCACTTATTTCTCTGCCTTTTTCTTACTCTGCACCCACAACCGACTCTGTTCTCTCCTTATCCTTGCCATTACCCTCTCACTCATTTTCTCTATCTTTGTGTTTTTTTTTTCTATTTTTCTCAGTTCTCTCTCTTTTCTTTTTCGTTCTTTTGCTGTCTTTTCTGTTTTCTCTCTTTCTTTTTCCTTTTTTGTTCTCTATTTTCTCTCTTTCCTTTTTCGTTCTGTCTTCTCTCTCTTTTCTTTTTTCTCTTTTTCTCTCTTTACTTTTCTTTTTTTTTTTTTTTTTTTTATTTTTTTTTCTCTTTTCTCTTACTTTTCTTTTTCTCTTTTTCTCTCTTCTTTTCTCTTTTTCTCTCTCTACTTTTTTCTCTTTTTCTCTTTACTTTTTTCTTTTTCTCTTTTTTTTTCTCTTTTTCTCTCTTTACTTTTTTCTCTTTTTCTCTCTACTTTTTCTCTTTTTCTCTCTACTTTTTCTCTTTTTCTCTCTTTTTCTCTTTTTCTCTCTACTTTTTTCTCTTTTTCTTTTTACTTTTTCTCTTTTTCTCTCTTTACTTTTTTCTCTTTTTCTCTCTACTTTTTTCTTTTTTTCTCTTTACTTTTTCTCTTTTTCTCTCTTTACTTTTTCTCTTTTTCTCTCTCTACTTTTTTCTCTTTTTCTCTCTACTTTTTTCTCTTTACTTTTTCTCTTTTTCTCTCTTTACTTTTTCTCTTTTTCTCTCTTTACTTTTTCTCTTTTTCTCTCTTTACTTTTTCTCTTTTTCTCTACTTTTTTCTCTTTTTCTCTCTACTTTTTCTCTTTTTCTCTTTACTTTTTCTCTTTTCTCTCTTTACTTTTTTTTCTCTTTCTCTCTTTACTTTTTCTTTCTCTTTTTCTCTCTTTACTTTTTCTTTCTCTTTTTCTCTTTAATTCTTCTATCTTTTTTCCTCTTATTGTCTCGCTTTTTTCTCTTTTCTCTCTTTGTTCTCTTTTTCTCTAGTTTTTCTTTCTCTTTTCTCTCTTCTTTTTTGTTCTCTTTTTCTCTCTTTTTCATTCTCTTTTTTCTCTTTTCTTTTTCATTTTTTTTTCTCTTTTCTTTTTCATTCTCTTTTTCTCTCTTTTCTTTTTCCTTCTCTGTCTTCTCTTTTTCCGTTTTCAGTCTGTTTTCACTCTTTCCTTTCTCTCTTTCTTTCCTTTTTCTCTCTCTTTCCTTTTTCTCTCTCTTTCCTTTTTCTTTCACTTTGTATCTATTTTTCTCTTTTCCCTGTCTTCTCTCTTCTCTTTCTTTCTCAGTGTGTCTCTTTTGCTAGCTTTTCTTTGTCTTTCTTTTCTTTGTCTTTCACTCTCTCATCTCATGTGACAGAAATGAATATAAACTTCTAAATAATTTTCAGTACTTTCAATTTCCTTCTAATAAGATTTCCAAGTCAATAAAAAGCACTATATTTGATGGCATATATGTTACCTGAATATATAAACTGCTCTCCTTCCATTGTACAGGAAGTTTAGATCGAAAGCTTAGCACTCATCAGAAGTTATTAACTTTGGGGAAGCTTCAAATTTACACATGAATTCAGGAAGAATTCTTTCTAGTTTTAAATATATGCAATAAAATAAAGTTCAAATGACTTATCTAGTTATCTGACTCAAGAGAGTTTCATGTTGAAATGGTCTTCTGAGCCAGATGTTTGAGAAATCTATTGAACTTATTTTAAATTCTTATATTTATTGTCTTTTCTGAATAAAAAAATGCTAATTATAAGTTCAAATTTTAAATTCTTAACACACTAGATTTTTGTTAGAAATTTGAAGTTAGAATCCATGTTAGCTCATTCCGCAAAATATTGTAAATGATGTTTATTTCAATGGGTTTAGGGAAATGATGGGAAGTGTTGCAAACATAGGGTAGGTAGGTATGCAGGTAAATATTTTGCTTTATTCAATTAGATTTCAATTTTATATATTTTTTACCCTCATGCACACATGACAGAAGTTAGCATCATAGAATCAATGTAAACTCTATGATCCTTTCATTAATTGTATAGTATGTGCTTTCACTAGAACTACATCCATTTTTTGAATACAGAGTTGTCCTTTTCTTAAACTGGTTGCCACCCAAAACTATAGGACCCAGTCTATCTTCCTATTTTACCCATAGATGGAAGGAGAAGAGATGGATTCATATCTTTCCTAAGTGTATTTGCACCTAAGTGAATATAATGAACTCAACTGGAGTTTGAACTCAGCTCTCTGATTTTTCAGTCCAAACCACTATCCATTACTCCACTGTGCTCCCATATTTTATGTTATTTTCAATCTAGAATCCTCTCATGACAAACTGTTGGACCATGAGAGAATTTTTGGTGTGCCGCTAAGATTTTTAAAGGTCATTAATTAAATTATTTTCAGAAGAATTCCAAAGCAAAATAACTGTGCATATCAAAATTAAAATGCTTCCACATCAATTATGCAAGTATATCATTGTTATAATAAATAAATGTATACACAATATATAAAGCAAGTTTTTCTACCGTAAACAATATTAAAAACAAAAATTGATCACAGCTAAAATTCTTGGAAGAAGGTTTAAGAAGATGCCTGTCTGAAATTCAATTTTGCAAAGAAGATATTCTAAAAAAAAAAACATCAAGTTCAGATTATCTTATTGAATGTTAAATCATAATAAACAGAAACATAAATTATAAGTTTTTAAAAGCAGTTTAATTATTTGTGTTTTTATAAGAAATTATAATAAATTGTTTTGTGCCAATAAATAAATCATAAAAAGTAAGCACATTTTTTTAACATTTTTTTTTTCACTCATCATAATTTAAGTGTACTGCAGAACTTTAAGTATGCCATGAGATGAAATGTTAAAAAACATTGACACAGAGGAAAGGCCCCATTTTCACACATTCACTCTTGAACTAAACAGAATTTATTTTTGTTGACATAATGTGTGATTGTATTGATTTGTTGTCTGTGTTTAGTACATTTATGCCATTCTTGAAGAAGCAAAGCTAAATTACACTAAATTAGTTTCAAGTACTTTTTCTGCTAGTTTTTTTTTTTTTATTAATTTTCGCTAATTGTCCCTTATCTTTTTCCTTTTTTTTGCAATTTTTTCACTCATCCATTTATTACAGCATTCGTATCAGTTTTTTCTCTAATTGTTAGTTTTTCTAAAAAAACACTGATAACTTTATTCATTTTTTTTGTGACAAAAGTATTTAATTTGCAAACTGCAGAAGGAAATATGGTATTTGAGAAAGCACCTTTCATATTTCCTGCAATATAAAATACACATTTTTTAATAAACTCTCCAAAATCTTTCAACACTCATCCTGCACATTGTACCATGAACATTAGTATAAGATTAAACTAATATCTGAGTATCTGTTTGACACACTAGTTCTTTAATAACCACAAATTATCTATGTCTATATATATATATATATATATATATATATATATTAATATAGGTAATAAAATGGATATATATATATATATATATATATATATATATATATATATATTATATATGTATCTTGATTTTGTTAAAATAACACCACCAAACAGGCGTCTTAAACCAAAATTTTTTTTTTATTTATCAGTTTGTCTGACAACCACTAAAGCGTGGAAAAACAGGTCACAAACTCACATCTATCAACCAAATATGTTATTTCTATCTCATAGGAGAGCGCTTTCACAACAAAATAAATAATTATAAATATATATTTATTTATATTTATATACACTTTCACATATATATATATATATATATATATATATAAATTTCTTATATAAATATATATGTTATATATATATATATATATATATATATATATATATATATATATATACGTGTGAATATATATATATATTTATATAAATATATATGTATATATATATATATATAAACTGTAAAATATATATATATATTTATATAAATATATATATATATATATATATAATGTGCATGAATATATATATATATATATATATAAATGTATTTATATAAATATATATATATATATAATGTGGCATGAATATATATATATATATATATATGCATGTATATATATATATATATATATATATAATGTGCAATAATATATATATATATATATATGAATATATATATATATATATATATATATATATAATTAATGAATATATATATATATGAATATATAATATATATATATATATATATAATTTATAAATATATATATATATATATATATAAATATATATATATATATATATATATATATATATATATAATATAAATGTGCTTGAATATATATATATATATAAATAATGTATTTGTATATATATATATATAAATATATTTGTATAAATATATGTATATATATATAATATGTCTATTTATGCACTATTTATATATGGTACTTATATGTCCTTACTTTAAAGCACTCAATATTTAGACTATTTGTTATATTTGTTTTTGCTCTCATGGTATTTCTGGTCGCCATCTGAATAAAAACCTGAAACCCAGAGTCATAAACTCACACAATCCAACTAAAATATATATATATATATATATATATATATATATATATATATATATATATATGCTTCTTCTTCTATATGTTGTCCCATCAGACCTGGGCAGTCACGGCTCTCCATAACTTCCTATCCTGTTTAGCTCATAGTGACATTTGTCTTTTTGCCATCCCCACTTATTCCACCATCCATTAATCAAGTTTGTTAGGTAGGTGGCCAGCTGCCTCCTTATGTCTATTTTGCCATCAATATGTTTGCTGAGTGTTAAAAAGTCAAGCCCTCTTCCCCTCATGCACCTAAGTAATTTAAAAGACAATTTTGATTCTGTTTTCAGCATTCTTTTGTAGAACCACATTTTTTGCCACCTCCAGTCCTCTCACTTTTTTTGTTTTCTATCTATGCTGACAATATAAGTTGTAGAAAATTGTTTAAGTGCTGTGATAAAAAAACAAAAGATAAGATGAGTGATAAACTACAGTGTAACCCGGATATAAGAGAGATTTTCTCTGGTCCCAAATTAAGCCTGTGTTAATGTATATAAATGATATTAAACCTTTATTATAAGAGACAACTTCTCTTATATCCGGGTTACACTGTAGTTTGAAATGAATAGTGATTAGGATTTATCTAAGAAATTTAGACAAAATAAGATTAATGTATTTACATGATTTATTAAGAGTCATATTTTGTTGTCTTCTATGTGCTCTTTCTCTTCAGGACACAGACAATCATGGCTCTCCACAACATCCTGTCTTTTGTTGTTCTATGTAACTTTTGAAGCTTTACCATCCTTTTTTTAATTTTTGTTTTACCATCCATTTACACAAATCCGTTAGGTAGATTATTCACTGTTTCTCTTACCTTTAATATATCCAGTGGGTGTCAGATTCTCCAAACCCTCTTTCCTCATTATATGTCCCAAAAAATTCAACTGCCTCTTTCTGATTCTAAGTATAAGTTTCCTTTTTGTTTACATTTTCCTTAAGACTTCCTCATTGCTCACTTGTTCAGTCCATGCTATTCTCAGAATTTTTCCATAGAACCACATATCTGTGGCATCAAATCTTCTCATCTGTGAGGAAATTGTCCAGTATTCACTACCATACAGGAGGATTGATACTACGAAGCACTACGTATTTCAGCACTCTTTTCTTTGTTATTAACAATAGTTTCCTGTTTCTTAATACTTTGCTTAGCTTTTGAAAGGCACCTTTTGCTATTCCAATGCACTTTCAGATTTCTGTGTCATATTTTCGATTGCCTGATGTCATACTTCCTAGATAATTAAATTTCCATACTTGCTTGATTCTGATGTCCCCAGTTTGTAGTTTGTATCTTGGGCTATCCCTCTTGCTAACGACCGTACATTCTGTTTTCTTACAGTTGATGGTTAGTCCTTTCTTCTCACTTTCTTCCTGCAGTTTTTTTTCTGTTATCAGCTTGGTTTATATCTGGTGTAGAAGAACTAAAAATTACGTGGTTATCTTAATGTCATGATATATTTGGCAAAAGAGTCAAACTATTCCAAATTCACTGAACTAGTGGCACAAGATTATTCATAAAAAGACATTACAAAGGAAATTTTGTCCGTTTCACTAGAGTTATTTGTCTGTTCTTGTCAGTTTATTTTTATTTCAGCACTTTGAATAACTCTATCATGGTCAATAACTGTGATGGTCAGCTCTTAGCAAGGCTTTATTCCAAACTAACTGAGCAGATCAAGATCTATCTGGAAGCAAATGAAGTGAGGAGGATGTCATTATGGATTGAGAGGTCGATAAAAAACCTATGTTTGGAGATAGTCCGAGTGCAGTCATGCATTCCAA